GATCGAGAGTTTTCTCCAGGAGGCAACAAAATTTGAGTGAATTAAAAATAAAATTATCCTGACCAAGGTCGAGTGTATTTTAGGGAGATTGTAACCCTTCATTTCGACAGTAAATTTTACAACCACTACATATTTTACGTATTCCTACACGCATTTTTATCGCTGTAAAAAGCTACCTAGCATTTAATCAGATAAAAAATCATCTGATTGGTTAGAATTTGAAACAATCACCTAGCTGATTGGTCGTATATTAATGGAGTGTATTAATCATATAAAATACATATGCCTTATTTGCACCATAAAAATTAGTTAGCTACGGAAATTACACATAAGTATATAAGAACTGCTTCTTTGTTTTTTAGCAGAATTAACAAATATGCTGATTGATTTAACAACTTTATATAGGCTATGAGTAGGTACGTTCGTTGAAATTTTCAAATTTTGCACTGCGCTGTGTTCTAAACGATTTAGTTCGCAATACTGTGGTAGTGAAATTAATACTGTGACTTACAAAAAGAATTGTTTAGTGAGTAGAGCACAAAACAGAAAAATTTCACAAGAAACAGTACCTAATATGGAAATTTTAAAATTAAAAATTACGGTGCAATTAGTCGACAATACGGCTTAACCTAAACATCAAAAGTAAAAGTTTCCCATTAACTGCAAATTGTTCTATACAGTCCACATATTGTTTGGTAAAAACTTACACCAGTTGGTAAATTAGTAGTTTTTGGTGTTTTTCTTAAATATTTAGAAAACTATGGGGTTTGGCGAGAAAAGTACCATACCCAAAATAATCTACATTAAATTATGAATAAAAATTGTCTTGTGTATAATCTTGCTCAAGTCAACGATTCCAGAGTTACGGAGGGTGTAAAAGTAGGCATTTTTCGTATTTTTTCGATTTTCTGGAAAAATGAAATCATGTTTGAAGTAAAGAACACTGAAGATCTGGCTTGTTTTCGTTACCCGTGTTACTTGCAAGTTATTTCAAAGCATCCTATAAATTCACTGTTCAAGTTGGCTGCGCTTCTCCCCACTTCAGCAGCTACCAGGTAGAACATTCATTTAGAACTTACCATCAGGTGCAGCAATGGCTGCATGAGAAGAAGAACCCGATGAAGTGGCCATGCAAAATTGTCGAACACCTGAGAGCAATAACAACACATCCTGCAACTCCCCAGGGATTACTGTCCCTCATAGTGGAAGTCTCTTGAAAAAATGGCCCCCCTTGAGAAGGTGGTAAGGTTATCGTTCCTTCAAGGACTTATCAGTAACATACCACCGGTCACAAAAGCGCAATTTGTTTTAACCGGTTTTAACAAAAAAAATAGTTTCCTTAGTGAAAATCTCATATTTTTTTCAAAAGAATCTAAAAAAAAAGATGAAAAATTTCTACTGTTACACCCTCCGTAACTCTGGAATGGTTCAATTTAGCAAGATTATATATGAGGCCATTTTTGTTCGCAATTTACTGTAGATTATTTATTTTATTTTGCGCTAAATAGTATAGTTATTTAAATATTTAAAAAAACTTATCACAACTACTAATTTTCCAACATTTACTTTTATTCTAAGTGGTTATGTTTCAAATTTCATTTGAATGCCTCCATAAATAAGAAAGTTGGCACTGCGCATGCGCAAAATCAAATTTTGAAACTAGCGTTATATTTGCTTTTATTCCAAGTGGTTATGTATCAAATTTCATTTAAATCCTTCATAAATAAAAAAGTTTGCAATTCGGTTTATAAATGGTCGAAATGCGAAAAGAGCATTGTGAATGTTGATCGATTAGGCTCAATTTTTGGAATTGCGTTTTATATGGCTAAAGCTATACGCATATTGAATTTCATGCAATTCGGTTCATAACTCACGGAGATGTCAAAAGGGCCTTCCTTATTTTTTGGGTTACATTGCCAGTTCACGAACTCCGATCTACAAATTTGATAAAGAATCTCGTGAAGAATCCACCTACAAAATTTTATCGTAATCGCTCCATTCGTTATCGAGATATCGTGCTAACGGACGGACAGACGGACAGACACCGCAAAATTATAAACTCGCTAGGAGCTCGTTAATAAATGATAATTTTCTTCCATGGGGATCGTGGTCCCCATTACACTGACTGACCGCGTTACCTGCACGTTGTATGACAATACTTAAATTTGTCGTAAGTAAGTGGTAGCTCGGGGTTCCCCAGTAATATTGGTAATGCGTTTTCCCAGGTATTCCACAAAATTTTCGAGCTTCTCTACACCAAGGTCCCAATGTCTCTACTGCGAAAGGTATAAAAATATGGTTCTGTTCTATAATAATTGAACTGTATTTCCTTATTTTAATACTTGCCGCAGATTCAGCTACCACACCACTCGTTTTACTAGAAAATTAATCCAAAATATTTCAGTGGTGCCAAGTCATAAAGCTAGGAAAAACTGTCCATGACTACTTGGGTGTGGCGCCTACTCTTAAGATTTTGACTCTATCTGGGAGATGTCAGCAAAACACAAAATAGCAAAATTGTACACGAAAAAACAAACCGGTGGTATTATAAAAAAAAAGAACCCCCACAATGTTGGGGATTGGGCGCCAGCTCTGCGCTACGTTTAAAGAACACAGCGCAGCGCTTGCTTTTGGTAGTCATCGAACACAATGGTGGTGTTAGAGGCTAATAAACCACCCCCAAAAGTTAAAGGCTTTTTGCAAAATTTATAATTGCGCTAGGATAACTTGAGCGCTAGGTCTACAGAACAGAAAACATCAAATTTTTACCCGAAAAGACAAAATGGTGGTGCCCCCTCCCCCACACCATTGGAGGGTGATGACAGCTCTAAAATTTGTGGCGCTAGCTGGCGCTAGGTCAGCAAAACACAAAACGTCAAAATTTTACCCGAAAAAACAAAATGGTGGTGCTAGGAAAAATTGCCCCCTGCACTATTGGGGGGTGGCGCTAGCTCTAAAAATTGTGGCGCTAGCTGGCGCTAGGTCTGACGAACACAGCGCTTGCTTTTGGAAGTGATCGGACGCAATGGTGGTGCTAGCGTTAACTTAGCACCCCCCGAAAGTCAAGGGCTTTTTTGCAAAATCTATAATGGCGCTAGCTGAACTAAAAGTGGCGCTAGCTGGCGCTAGGTCAGCAGAACACAAAACGTCAAAATTTTACATGAAAAGACAAAATGGTGGTGCTAGGAAAAATTGCTCCCCTCACTATTGGGGGGTGGCGCTAGCTCTAAAATTTGTGGCGCTAGCTGGCGCTAGGTCTGACGAACACAGCGCTTGCTTTTGGAAATGATCGGACGCAATGGTGGTGCTAGCGTTAACATAGCACCCCCCGAAAATCAAGGGCTTTTCTGCAAAATCTATAATGGCGCTAGCTGAACTCAAAGTGGCGCTAGCTGGCGCTAGCCATAGAGATTCTAGCGCAATCTGTCTTTAGTCAAAAATTTGAAATGGTGGTGCTAAGTTAACGGAGCCCCCATATGACTAGTTTGACGTCTGTCAATAATTGATTAGTTTCGTGAATTTCTTGTTCGTTAAATTGTCCTGCCGAATTACACTCGAGGTTTGTATTTAAACCGAGTAAATTTGGGTTGTTGCAACTCAAATCTGTTTCCTTTTAGCAATTGAACTCGAAAAACTGTCAACCTAAAAATGCTCCACCTGCGGTGTCGCATTTTTATTAGTTGACAGTTTTTCTCGTCTAATTCCTAGGCAACAGATTTTCATTACCTAAACAACCCAAATTTACTCGGTAAAATACAAACCTCTTGTGCAATTATAAGTGAAAAAAATATGCGAAAAAATTTTGTTCGTGGCCAGGTATTTCAGTGGTAAATTATTATTATTTTAAGTTCAATTTTATATATAAATCATTAAAAGAACAATAAATCTATTTTCAAAACAATATTATTTAGATTGTCCACTTTTTTGAGAACTACCCATATAAACAATATTAGACATGTGGAGGAATGTAATAGAAAAACAGTTAGATGAAGCACAGATCTATTTTAGGAAAGGTCGTAGTATTCCAATCATCAAGGTTGCAATGGGTTGATGGTTGACCTAGCTTACTGCAAACTGCATCACGAAATGGTCGCTGTTATCTCGGGGTCTTGATAAGAAGCTGTTGCAATTAAACCGGAATGTACTTAAACTTGAAATGTAGAACTAAAAATGCGGGTGTATACTTGAAACAAGGGAAACAAGCAGAAAAACCAAAATGAAAATACACTAGCTAGGCAATATAGACTAATGCTAACATATGGCGGCGAATGCGACAGAGAGCAAGTTATAAGGTGATAGTGAAAGGTGAAAGGAATCAAGAGAACTCGTAGGAAATGAAACTGTATGGGACGAATTATGAGTAAAAGACATAAATTATTCGAAAAGAACCAGTTGAGATGGTTCGGAGTCCTGCAACGAATGAGGAATAAAACAAGTGTGACGAAGATACTTAGAGGAAAAAGAAGGGGAAGACTAAGAACAAGAAAAGACGAGAGCTCAACAAACATTATAGAAGAAAGGTGTAACAAGGACAGAAGCATGTGTAAAACAAAACAAGAATATAGAAGGGTAAAAATATGTACGCCTATTTGGTAGAAAGGTCATGATTAATTAATATATAAAATTAAGTTTTTTTTTTGTTGTTGTAAGTGTATTTTATTTAAAATGTTTTATAATATCTACGTAGATAACCCAATCTGGATGGTAAGTTCGACTTATTCCTAAACAGCCTAGTAAATGTAAATATTGGTAATTGTATTATCTGATGTAGTAATTGTAATTCAAGGACCTAGAAGTATAGTCATTTTTATCAATTATAACAAACCGAGATATTGTCCATTACGTAAAAACTACGGCATCTGAATAAACCAGAGGTCATTTTTACAATTTCATCTCGGATACAGTTATCCCCTTTGCGCTTAGTGGAGCAGTATAATTATGTCAGACATAACCGAATTTAAGGAAAATTTAATTTTGGAGGAAAATGGAAAACAAATTACCTCTCCCACAAGTCTTCTTTTTAAGTTCGCATATGTTAGGATAGATAAGCCCATCCGAACCACATACAGGATCGCCATAACCTTGTGGGGTACATATTCTTGGACATGACGAATCTCGAGCTGCCAGTATTCCTGAAATATAAAAAAGATTACAGTTAGTGGAGGTTGCAATACTTGATTATTTATAAATGATAGATAATTTATCAAAATGTTAATTACAGAAAATTACGAGGCAATATTTACTGCTGATAGGTCTTGAAAGACGCTAGTTTTACACAAGCAGATCTATAATATGAATAATGCCGTCGTAAAGTGTTTTAATAAACGTAGCTTCTCGAGGGTCGTTCACTTGCTATCAGCAAGCACACAATAATGGAAGTGCTAGAACTTCCATTATTCCGAAGTATCATACTCCTTTAAAGGCTAATTAATTACCATTGAAATATCGACACTTACCGATTTGATACGGTTTCGAAAATAAATTTCCCGCAGCGTTAATGTGAGTGTGAAGTGCTATAAAACATAAAAAAAGTATCTATTTCTATTGTACGGCGCTAATAAAACGCACAAATTAATTACCAGAAAGAGATTACTTTAACACTTTTACTTTTTGTCGTTTTTACCGGATTCCATAAAAGGTACACCTAGTGACTTTTGAACAGCCTTGGAGGGTATCGAACCCGAAAGCTCTGGAGTGTGACCAAGAACATAGAAACCACTTTATTTAAAACGTAGATACACGTAACTCGTTTATCCTTTACCTTTGCTTTAATATAAATGAGATAAACTGTTTTATACGATAATGGAGTAAGTTCACTTAAAAATCTCAACATGTTTCCGCCACGACGTTGCATATACTAATTTTTCTGAAAAACTAGAATTTATATTTGCAATATATCTTGGAGAAAATTGTTATTTGCGAAGAATCTTGTTAATGAAATATAACGCTCGGTCTTCTCTTCCTGAATGGGATGATGAATATCAATGTCTCATCTATTCGCCGATAAAACGCATAAATCAGTTTCCCCTTAACCAGTAATACAAAAGGTGGGTTTATATGCACTATTAATTAGACAACTGTATGGATACGCATCACTGCAGATTCCTCTTCACTTAAAAGTAAAAGTCCTATTGTGGATGTAGGTGCTTGACTTGCTTGCTGTGCGGTAATTTTCAACGTACATACGCAAGTATCGTTACTGAAATAATAATGTTCAATTTATACCTTTTCAGGTGAACTTCGCGCATATTATCAGTGCGATCGGTCATCAAATACCATCAAGACCAGAATAGAAATTCAGAGTTGGTATGCAAATCACAGCTATTGTGTGTTACCTTAACTTTGTCAAGAAACCATTACGATTTATATTCCAATCTGTATTCTTTTTATAAATGTTATTATTAAATAAATATAAGTATTTTGTTTCCATCCAAAATTAGGTGAATCCAGAGAGGAGAAAATCCAAATCTACATAATCAGTGCGTGATTTGAATGTGAATAATTGCGTCACGTACTTTATACAAATTATATTCGATTTTGCAGTTAACAATTTGGTTCAAATGAAATAATCATCAGCGCAGCGATATACCTACTGAAAATAGCCCTCCAAGATCAACATTTATTTGTAGTTTCTGTTTATAAATCAATAATTTTATTGTTGTTTTGTAATGAAATAATTAATACCACGGCTAGCTCAGTAATAAATAATCATTTAATGACTCTTACTTTGCGGAAAGTTGATTTTTATTTCCCCTCATAATCTGAAAATCAAAATCGGATGCTCTCTCAAATAAGTAGGAATTCATAAACGTTGACTTGTTTGAATATATTACTGAAAATAATATCGTCCAACTCAACTTTTCTTTACATTTATCTCATTAGGTTTTGTCCTGGTTAAAGTTAGCAGCAACTCAAAAATTCGATGGCGGAACGTTTTGCGCAATACAATCAGCCCTTTTCTACTGTTAGGCGAAGTTTGGTTACTCGAAAATTAATTTCCAAATATGGTTGACGCAATTTGATTCAGAACCAAACTGTGCTTCAGGTTTATGCAGGGTGAGTTTTTTTTCATTTTAAGCATTGAGATTTCGTAAACTATAAGACATACGGATTCGGTTAAATGAGGAAAGAGTTGTCGTTTTAAGAGCTTATTTAAGATATGCTTTTGTTTTTTGAAAAAAATCCACAGTTCACTAGATATGAGCTAAAAACAGATTTAGTGATTTTTCATTTAACTGTTGTAGAATCGTTATTATTAGAAATACAACAAAATGACACGAATAAAAGTTTTAGACATTTTAATGCTTAACATAATGAACATACTAATTTATTTTTAGATCTTACAATTTTTGAGTTATAATACAAACTTTAATTTTTTTAAATGGTATAGTCTTAGTTGGCTTTGACATTTTTAAAAAAGACAAATTTTTCTCTATAACGATATAAGGCTTGCTAAATGTACTTTAATACATAAACGCCCTGCAGCAATTTTCGTATTATTGAGAGGTAAGTAAACAGAGTTGGCCATGGAAAACAATATCTACACCTTTTCCACTTTTATTCGAGAAGTTGTAAATTGTATTTGAGAATTGTTACTTGGATTTGAGAAAACAACAAATGTAGTTGAGAATAGTCAGTTGGATTTGAGAAAACAACAAATGTAGTTGAGAATAGTCAATTGTATTTGAGAAAGTATCATTTAATTTTAAGAAGTCGTTAATTGTATTTCAGAATTCAGAATGTAATATTAAGAATCAAATTTTTATAATCCCGCTACTGTATGTAGTCCCGCAACAGCAGCAGCAGCCTCAGGCTATGTTATACATGTGATTTTGTTTTTCTCATTTTCAACTGATATCTTCTCAAATACATTTTACCATTTCTTGAATACAATTTACTACTCTCAAATTCATTTGATGCCCTCTCAAATACAAATCACTATTCTGAACTACATTTGTTGTTTTCTCAAATACATTTGACTATTCTCAAATACAATTGATACTTTCTCAAATTAACTTTATAGTTTCTCGAATAAAAGTGGAAAAGGTGTAGTGAGATGGTACCTTTCATTTACGACGAAAATTGGACAGGCCAATGTTATCTTCATTTTCTACCAAATGAATTTCAAGATATGTAGGATGGGTTAGATTTGGAAACACGACGTAATTTACGCTGGTTTCAACACAACGGTGCCCCGCCGCACAACTAACTGCAAGTTAAATATTATAATAGACAGTAATTAAGAGAACAATAGTATGTTGAAAGACAAGTGTTACAATGCGACCTATTGTAATACGACTATCTTGTGGCACAAGTGGCGACGCGGAGCGTAGCCACAAGTGTCCGCAAGATAGGAGTATTACAATAAAGCATTGTAACACGCGTTTTTCATACTATTTTTTCTATTTCGGTGCTTTAATTTAATTAAAAAAATCATTATCAGAAACTATAGGGAACATTAGAACTAACATGTTTTATGTTGGGAACACTTTTTATGCCGTTAAGTTTTAGGTTGGCAGCGTAGTAAGACTGACATTTTGAAGTTCAAACATGGAAGTACCCTACTTGTACTACTAGTAACTGCCAACTTAAGAGATGAGTTACCAAAAAAAAATGATCAAAGTCCTCGTGTGAGATCGAAGGGACTTCAGCGCATTTTTGTGTGGCAGATCAGTGTTTTATTAGCCAATATTGACTCCACCATCAATAAGATCTTGCCGAAAGCTACCACGTTCACTTTGTCGGTACCATTTTCTCACTTACCGTGCACTCGCAATTCGCGTTTGAAGTTTTGACTCCACCATCATTAAAATCCTTTGGGGTTACCATATTCCCTTTGTCGACACCCACTTCTGATCACCCGCAACAATTCGGATTTGAAGTTTCGACTCCACCATCAGTAAGATCTCGTCGGGGGTTACCACATTCCCTTTGTCGATACACAGTTCCGACGTCCCGTTCATTCGTAATTCACATTTTGGTAGATTTCGCTAAAATCCCGGCATAAAATCGTATTCAACTTTTGGGTACTTCACATAGCTCGACCTTCTATTAGTGACACGAGAAAGAGAGACCGCGATTCGCGCTGTAAGAAGCTTTTGGGCGCCCAAAGTCGTCTACCCCTCGAAGCGCGCCGCGCAAAAGGTGGTTTATGTCGCCCCTAGGAAAAAAAAACAAAATTCCGCGACGCAGGAGTTGTGCGCGTTGACAAGATCTTCCCGACGACACCAATTTGAAAACAATCGGAGAAAAACTGTAGAAGAAGATAGATAAAAACTGAAAAATCTCCAGGTTAGTATAATACGCTCGGGGATGGCGTCCAGATGTCGTCGACTCCAAATCTTGTAGCCCCATCCCTAACGTTCTTAATTACACGGCCCCGATAGTTACATGTACACTCCTTGTCTTTTTACAAGCGTTTTTCTACGGGCGCGCATTTACTGCCAGCCAGCCAGCCAGCCGACCAGCCAGCCAGCCAGCCAGCCAAAGTGAGATTAAAAGCTACTTTTTACAAAAAAAATTTTTTGCAAAAATGCGCTAAAAAACGACTATAATCACTGTCTTTGTACAACTGCTTTCGGCCGAAAACAGTTGTACAAAATCATCATTGTGACACCGAAATAGAAAAAATAGTTTCCCATGGCAAAGTCTGTTTTTACTACTCTTAGTAATACAAACAGTGCTTTATCATGTTTATTTGTCGAAGTAAGTACAATGATCCTTATATCATTGTAAACAGAAAAAAATGCACTTTTTAAAAATGTCGCAGCCAACTATGATTACCATTTAAAAAAATCTAAGTTTGCGTTGTAACTCGAAAATTATAAAAGAATAAATATTAATAAATGTATCTTATTAAGCGGAAAAAGTACAATTTTTGTTCTTTGCATATTTCTGTATTTCTAATACTAACGATTCAACAGTTCAATGAAAAATCACTAAATCTATTTTTCGCTCATACAATGCGATCAAAAATGAGTTGTTGTCGAGTCGCCTTTGGAATTTTTGTTTACATGTCAAATTGTACTTAACTTGAACTTCCAAAGGCGACTCGACAGCAACTCATTTTTGATCGCCCGTTATCTAGTAAACTGTGGATTTAAAAAAAAACAAAAGCGTATCTTGAATAAGC